CGGACGAGTCGCCGCGTCAGTTTTCGACCGACGGCAAGACCGTGGTGGGCACCACCGACTCGCGCTTCTTTGGCGCGGCGGTCGTCAACGGCGCGATGGATTCGCCCGTGACGATCGCGGACAGCGACAGCTTGGACGTGTACAAGACGGCGATTGCTGGCAACGACGTGTACATCACCGACTACGAAGGCGTCATCAAGTACTCGACGCTCGATTCGTCGACTTGGACCGTGCGCCCGTTCGGCTACGTGGACACGGACTTTCGCGCGCGCGAGTTGGCGTCGGACGGCGTCGACCTCTGCGTGATCACGTACAGCTTGGAGATTGCGTGCGCCAAGCTGGCGACGGGCCTCGAGACGTGGACGACGTACCCGGGCAAGTGGCAGGCGATCGCGGTCGCCAACAACACGCTCACGGCCGTGGCGTTTGTGGACCGCGACATCCAGGTCACGCAGCTCAAGTAACTTTTTTCTCGTTTGAAACGAGATCATTGCATAGAATATACACCAGCATTTTTGTACATCAATGAGTGAGTTGTGGTGCATGACTTTGATTTGTACGCGGCGTTGCACGAGAAATTGCATACAAACACGTGCAAATAAAAGATCATGCGACAGCTCGAATTGCTCAAGAACACCAGGCTGCATGATGACTATGAATACATTTAGCGTCTGGTTTGAGGTGTGTTCTTAAGTGGATTCAACGCGTCTTGGTACACATCTGGACTCATCAAAATGTTGGCGGTGTTGAGGGTCGACCACGTGATTGGCACCGCTCGGAATGCCACAAACGAAAGGAGCGAGAGCAGCGTCGCCCCGAGCGTCGCGAGCCGTGCCAGAGAAATCTCAATTCCAAAATACGTCAGACGGTCGTCGTGGTTCTCGATCGCGTCAATGATGGACTCGAACATCGCAATGCGCTCGTCAAATCCCGATGCATCGCCTTGCAACAGCGCCTTTCGGCGTGCAAAGTCGAGCTCGAGAAGTTGCTTTCGCAGCATCGGCCCGTGCTTGTGCTGAATGTCGAGCGCTGCGGCCAACGGCACGAGCATCGTCAGCGTTGAGAGCGACCCAAAGAGACCGATCAAGAGCAAAAAATACGTGGGCAGTGGCGCTGCGCCAGCGATACAGTACACGAGAATACCCGTCGCCGTGCAAGCAAACTGGAGTAGCGCGCCTCGGACAAATGCCGTTGTCCATTCCGTTAGAAACGCAGTGGCGGCGCGGACGCCGTTTCGCAACGTATACCATGCGTGGAGATTCTCGCCGTCCGTGAGCGCAATCGCCATGCGCCCTTTCTGCGGCAGAATGATTCCGAACTCGGTGATCGAATTGAAGCGCAGCCAAAGGGACCAGATATTGAACGCGCTCGCCATGAGAAGCATCGTGAGATAAGTCAGTTGAATGAGGTACTTGAGCGCGAGAGCGCCCTGCAACCAACCTGGTAAGGGTTTCCTGTTTTGCAAGTAATCGGTAAAGGCGCTCAGCGACACGGATTCGAACGCGATCACATATCGGAGCGATAGCCAACGGACGTCGCTGCACGTCATCGGGAACCGCACGCGAAACGACAGCGCCGACTGCTCGTCGTTGAGCCCAATTGTCACATTTCGGGGATTTGTGTGTTTCACATCGATGTGCCACGAAGCGACAAGCGTAAACGTCGTGCCGCGACGTCCTATGTCGTAAAATCCAAACGTAAGAAGCGGACTTCCATTCGGCGATGCATCGACAAGCAAGTTCACGAGGGCGTCCGACGTTGTTGCGGACGAGTTGACGCAGTGCGAGATCGTAGAGCTGACACGGTACATGGGCTGATCAGGTGACGTCACGAGACCATTGACACCGGTTGCAACGACGCTCATGGGCACCGTTCCACTCGGCCAGAAGACAACAAAGAACTCGTTGTATACAATCACAGCAAGAAGAAAAACAAGGACAAACAGCTTCGGTGACGCGAGCCGCCGTGTGGTGCAGTGGTGAACCGTGTGTGCTTCAAAGACGGCGGCGACCTCTGCGGGTGGCACGTGCATGCCGTTCGTCGCGACAAAATCCAAGTGTGTGACGTCAATGTCTTCAGCCTCGGCAGCAAAGCGCACGACCAGCGCAGGGGGTACTGAATCGGAGCCATCCAATTTATACAGTTCATTGCGATACTCCGATTGTTTAACAGTAATATCCCGCAACAGAAGGTAAGCCATCGACGGTTGCGCAAGGTACACGACAAAGAAGACAAGCGTGTAGATCTCCAAGAGACCCCAAAAAACAATTTGTGGCTGGAATGGGCATGTGAGAATCAGCAGCGTGAGTACTGCCATCCCATACACGACAAAGACTCCGAGTGCTTTCTTGTCGAGGCCGTGCCAAATGTCCAGCGGTCGCCCGAGCATCCAGTGACGCGACGCCAACGACGTGCCAGAGCGGGACAAGAGGTATAGAAGTGGCATCGCAACCGGTGCGAGCAGAAGTATGCCAAAAATCCATCGCCCGTCCGTGCGCCACCGACAGAGGAAATTCTGGTACATTTCAAGTCGCTGTCGACTGGTCTCGACCAATGGTGGGTACTCACTTGCTGGCTTGGCGATAAAAATGTCATCAGGTGCATACGTGTGCTTGTACGCTGCGTAGCAGGACGCACACACCGTGTAGTCGCAACCGTTGGACCGCGAGAGGTCGTACACCGTCCCCTCGATGCTCTTGCGCTCCCACACCGAGACGCAAGGAATTTCTTGGCAAAAGACATCGCGAGGACCGTCGTACGTCGGTGTCGGTGGTAGATCTTGGTCAACAGCACCTTGACCCGTGGTGTCGACAACCGACTTGGTGTGGTCGGTGTCGATGGTCGTCTCGGTTGCCGTGGTCTTGCCGACATTCGCCGCGATCATTCGGTGCGTCTCGTAAGCGGTGATGCGATCGTCGACGTTGTTGAGCATGAGCATCTCCATCTCGGACGGCGTGAGCTTTTCATCCTGAGCCTCGTCGTCGCTGGCGTGGGCCATTGCCGCGCGCCGTCGCAAATATGCGGCGATGCGGTCGTCGGCGCTGTCAAAGGAGAGCATCGCGATCTCCGACGACGTGAGTTCCGATTGCATGGCCACTTGGTACACACGATGATAAATGTGATGTGATGGAACTCTTAAGAGGCTCCACCGACACTCTTAGGATCCTTCCAAGTACGTTCGTTGGGCTGCGTCGAGTACGATTGGCTCTAGGACGCTGGCGACGCTTCATCGTGCCGGTTTTCGTTCTAGAAAATTAGATATTGTTCGATTAACGAAACGAAATATATCTTTGGTCGTCCCACACCTCTTCAATGGCTTCAGTTCGGTTGCATCGCAACAGGCCTACGATATCCAACGAGCTCGGCCAGCGTCTACTGATGGAAGCATGATTGAGATCGATCCAAAATGCTAACGTTACTCCCCAACGACTCAACCCACTACCGGTACACAAGACGCAAGCTAAAACATCGTCGAGCTGCTACGGCGACATGTCGTATCGTTCTACACACGCCCTTTTAGCGTCGTGCCGCGTCGTTGGCGCCGCTTCGAAGCGGCGTTTCGCGTCTATAGAAGAATAGTTAGCGTTCGATCAAAACCAAAGATATATACCTTTGGCACCGCTTCGGTCTCACGATTAGGAGACTATTTCGCTTTCTGCCACGTGCCCGAGGCATCCAATGAACTCTGCGGTCCAGCCCTCGACCGACGACGAAAGCGAGATCGTCGTCTCCGTCGACTGCTCCGAGAACGTCGCGCCATTTCCAAGCCTGCCAACGACAGCACCAGACGCAGCGCACAAGGTATACTGCCAAGGTGACGGCTGCCGAGCGAAGTTGCACCTAGTTGCACTCGACCCGACCTCAGCGATGCATGTCAAGGGTTCGGTTGAGATCTACTGTGCAAGCTGCTTCAGCAAGCGTCCAGGCAAGCCGGAGCTATCCCCCGTTCGCCAATTGCCCGTCGTGTCCTCCGTCAAAAACCCGAAATGCGATGGCAAGCTCGACAAGTACAAGGCCATCATGGAAGATTCGCACGTGCATCTCGTCTATCTCGCCATGTTATCATCGTTTGGCCACTCGCGTGGGGCTACTTTTGTACCACGCTCAAACGCCAACCGCTGCCCGAGCCGTCGTACACTGCCACGTGGCGACATCGATTGCACTGGATCATGGCTGCCGTCTCGCACCTTCAGTGCGCCTTCTGCTGTGCTTACATCTGGTTCATCTTTGTCGCCATCAATCAGAGCTGTGAGTATGCCGCACAAGCGTGGTTCTGGGTCCTTCTTGAAGTCTACACGCTCTACTTTCTCCTGCTCAACGTCATTTACGTCGCGACCCCCATCATGCCTGCAAAGCCGACACGCCATGTCACAACAAATCGTCCTCTCAGCGTGGGCAACACACCACACGTGGCAGTCCAGCAGCCGCTGACGTCCCGTGCATCGCCGCACGACGACAACAACGCCCTTGTTCGTGTGCTGCAAGCGGTGGCGCTCACAGTGGTGCCTGTCGCCGGCCTCACCTTGGTCGAGTACCTCTTGGCCTCGCTCCCCAACACATATCTGATCGCCAAGGTCGGCGATGACGTCGAAGCGCTTGTCTTTACGGGTGCCGATGGCCAGCCACTGCCGGAAGACACCGCGCCAAGTGTGTTTGCGACGCGGGTCAACAGCCACTGGCTCTTGCGGGCGTATCGAGCTGGTCTCATAATCATCACCGTCGTCGTCGTTGGCTTGAACATCTGGCTCATGCTCTCGTGGGTCACGCACGCGTGGCCATCTCGCAAATTTGGGATCCCGATCGAGACTTTGATCCAGCTGCCCGCCAACGTCGCGTACAATGTGGCTGGAACCATGACCGATATCTGTCATCCGAACGATGATGGAACGTTCCGCGCAGTGTGGAACTTGGCCTTGACGCCGACGCCAAGCGTCCTGAACGGGCTGCCGACAATGAACGTGGGCTTTGTGAAAAATCGAGATCTTGTGTATTTCACGGATCTCGCCGTCGGAACGCTTTGGCTCGTGGCGCAGGACACGTACTCGATGACAGTGCGCCCAGCCGTGAACCAACAAAACGTGACGATCCGGGCGTCCTTTGGCAACGTCTCGAGCTGCGACGACGTCGCCAAATTGCACATCCTGTGTCTAATGACGTATACGGACAAGTCACTTCGAAAGCGTCTGGCCACCGCAGCACCAGGCCTTACACTGCTGCCCACACTGCTTCTGGCGAAATACTGCTTCCAGATGCTCGTGGTGGCTGGCATTGTCGGGTACGCGTCGCTCCAAATCTTAGCGCTCTGGCTGCAATTTGACGCACTCACGGTAACAGTGGATCTGACGCTGCACCAGAACCTGGATGTGTGGTACCGACTTCGCAATCATGTGTTCAAGGTCGTTACCTTCTACACTGAGTTTGTGACGACGCTCATGTCGATTGCGCTCGTTCAGCTCACGGTCGCCATCAGTGGCCTTGTCATCTACTGCCTCAGCGGCGTCGCGCCACTGCCCGGCTACTATCTTTTGATTCTAACAATGGTCGGATCGCTCTCGACGCTGGCGTTTCTCTTGCCATTGGCAAAGGCGCTCGACATTCAAGCCAGCCACGAGGCGAAGCTCCACGCCTTGCTCTTGCAACTGCACCACGAACGAGAGCGGCGCTCCAAGGTCGACCGACTGAGTTTGATGGCATGCTTGTCGCGGCTCATTCAGCTGGTCGGTCCCAACGACGACCGCATTTGCTTTTGGGGCGTCGAGCTCTCGATGGCCCGGCTCATTGGACTCACGATTTCTATTGGGTCGGGCTTGTCGGTGGTCTTTTCCCGCACCGTAAACCACAGCTGGTCGGAGCCTCTGCATGAGATGTAGTCGAAGGCAAGTAATCACAACATGCCACCTGCAGTGCGTCAACGCAATCGCTTGGTACTGTACACGATGCAAGACAGTAGATATGATGATCGCTCTAAACTGTCTAACCGCTTAATAACTCTCTTTGCAACCGGATGTATATTTTCTAATCGTTGGCCAGGCCTGGTCGTTGGCATCGTTCAGGTGCGTCAGATCTCCGTACTAGTACGCGCAAAGTAGTTGGTCATGGCGCTGAGCGATACGGACTCGAACGTGACGAGCCAGTTGCGGTGGAGTTTTCAGACCTCGTTGCACGTCAACGCCGACTGCCCGTCGTCCAGGGCGATCGTCACATTCCGAGCCTGCGCCTGCTTGAGGTCCATGTGCAAGAAACTCAAACGAGATGTTGAAGGTAGCAATAGAGCCATTGGACGTGAAGCCAATCGTAAGGAGCGGACGTGCTTTCGGCGGCGGATGGACCCAAAAGTTGATATATCAGATTTTCTGCCACGTAGCTAAAGTTGATGAGTACATCCGACGTTGTCGCAGACGCGTTTGTTGAACATTAGCGCGCACAGTGTGTCCTTGGGTGATGTGACGAGACCGTTCACGCCCGGTACGAGCACGCTCACGGCCATCGCGCCGCAGGAGAGGACAAAGATTTCGTTAAACAATGACGTCCGGTGATGCTGGCTTGGACGTGCCGGCCTGGCCAGTGCTCGTTGACACCGTATTCACCGCCCGTCGCGTCACGCAGGCCAACTCGCCGTCGTCGCAAATCCCGTTAAACTTATTTGCTTCGCATTCAAACGTTCCTGCCAGCTCACCCCGCATAGGACCTGTTGCAAACGCAGTGGCTTAGACGGGGGACGCAAACATACCACCGCCAGAATCGTACTTCCGCACGACGCGCAGACGATGCAGCACCACGAGGGCGTTGGCCGCGGCGATATCGTTGGCCTCCCACATCACGTGCAGCGTGACGTTCCTGCACGTCGCCAGCGCCGACAAAAGCACTTTGAGCGCGAGCGTCTGAAGGTGGATGGCGAGACGGCGCGCGTGGCGGCGGCGGTACATGAGCGCGTTGGCCAGCAATTCGGCGATGGCTGGGCTGGCCGTGTGTGCAGAGAACTCGCAGTACTCGAGTCCACGCTGCATAGGCTGTGGCAGAATGCTTCCGAGAGCGTCGAGAGGAACACAAAGGCTGTTTAAAAGACACAGCCGCTTCAAGGCGCGTGCGGTCCCGAGCCACTGGGCAAACTGCTGCATCCCCGTCTCGTCATGGACGAGGCCATGGAATGCGACCAAGTGATGGCACGTGCCAGCACCAAAGTTGGACGGGAAGGCTTCCGCGAGCGTCAAACGCTCGAGAGCTGAGAAGCCGGCAAGGACTTCGCCGAAAGCGTCGGCGTATTGCTCGCGCCCGCCGCCCACGCTGGGCGACGTGACCTTGGTGGCATCGAGCCGACGTAGAACATCGATCGTGCTCGGGCCATTTGCAAGTCGACATGCGATGATCGTGAGGATGTGCTGGAGGATGACCTCGGGCAGGTTGAGCACATGCGGGCGGACAACGTTGACACGGGGCACCTTCGCTTCCAAATCGTCCGCAGCGTTGACCGAGATACCGACAGCATGTTGCACTTCGTGAACGTGGGCCACGATCGCGGTCTGGTCCGCGGGCTCCGGGGCAGCGACGGCCACGAGCTCGTCGATCGCAGAGGCCGCCGCTGGCAGCTGGTGCTCGACGTCGCCAAACGTTGCGTCGTCGTCCGAGGAGGTCGCCTTGGCGTCCTGCTTGGTCATCCTCGTCATCGTCTCTTGGTCGGGCCAAATGAAAAATATCTTGACGTGACGGCGATTGGCTGATTAAATGGCAATGGGGCACTAGGATTGGCTAAAATACAACCGAGCGACGATGACACCGCCGCTTAGCCAACATCCACGCTGTTGCTGCTTCCATCGACTGACGCTAGCAACGTCGACTGCACATCCTTGACGAGCGCTAAGACGTATATGTAGCCGTTAGCCAAGTACCAGCGCACCGCACCGCGGAGGGTACGAAGATGGCTGTAGTAATAGTATCTGTAGCGCTCCACGTACATTCCCGATAACAGAATGCTATGCGGATGATGCTCGGCCAGCATCGAGGCGAGCGAGTGATCGAGCAGCCAGGCGGCGGACGCCGCCTGGAGCCACTGCACCGTGCTGCATGCTGAGGTTGACACGATGCAATTCGATTCTCAACCAAAATAGTGTCTACCAGCTCACTCCGCAAGGGACCTGTTAGTATAATTCGGCCACACAAATACGCTCGATTTTTACTATCCAAACGTAGCATACCAGTCCGATGGCGCCGAGAACGAGTAGCGGACCGACTGGGAAAAGACCACCGATAACGCCGAGCCAATCGAGAATGCGAGTCCGATCAGCCGCCCCATCGAGAGCTCGACGCCCCAAAAGCTAATCCGGTCGTCGTTGGGTCCGACCTTCTCGATGAGTCGCGTCACGCACGTAATCAAGCTCAGTCGGTCCTTCTTCGGACGCTTCTCCGCGTTGAGATGGAGCCTGAGCAGTACATCATGAAGCATCGCCTCGTGGCTGGCTTGAATGTCGAGCGCCTTGGCCAATGGCAAGAGAAACACCAGTGTCGAGAGCGATCCAAGCAGCGTCAGAATCAGCAAGTAGTAGCCGGGTAGTGGCGCAACGCCACTGATGCAGTAGATGACAAGGCCACCGACGGCGACCGCCAGCTGGACGAGCGCAATCGACATGAGCGCCGTCACAAACTGCGTATAGACAGCGACAACCTTGAGCACGCGACAGCGCAGTTTGTACCAGACATTCAAATTCTCGTGCAGCGTCAGATCGACCGTCTTCTTCTTCACCTCCTCTTGGGCTGTTGCCGCTCGCGTCTTGCCATCATTGTCGTCTTTTGCCGTGAGTGAGTCGAATTGGAGCCAGAGGGACCAGATCTGGAGCGACGAGTACCCGACGATGCCAGCCACAACGTACATCTGGACACAGTACTTGATCAAAAGACAGAACGGCAGTCCGCTGCGCTCCGTGCCCCCAAACTGATCTTTGATCGACATCCGGGCATACGTTGATGTGTGCAAAAGTCTCAAGCGGCCAACGTCGTCGCACGACGAGCGGTTGAAGAAGCGCGCGCGCAGCGTAACCTTGCTCGTCATGACGGGCGGCTGGAACGACACGGAGTCGGCATTGACCGTCACGACGTCCAGCGTGCCCACTGAAAGCGCCTCCAAGTAGACCTTCTCGTTGGTAAATGGATCAGCGAACCCGACCTCGATAATCGGAAGCCCGTTCATGTAGCTCGTTTTTGGCGCCAAGACCAAGTTCCACACAGCGCGGATCGAGCCGTCGTCGTGAACGTCGCAGATATCCGAGAGCGTGCCATGAACCGTGTAGTTGACATTGGCTGGGATTTGCAGCACCGAGCTCAGCGGAATTAGAAACGGCGTCGACGGCGCCACCTGCGTGACCCACGAATGCAGCAAAATGCCGTTGAAAACCACGACGAGGTTGATCGCGACCCAAAGCGCAGAGTGCACGAGGTACAATTTGAATCGCTTTCCCACGCGCGAGGCAAAGACAGTCGGGGCCGGGTCGTCCGCGAACGGCTGTCCGTTTTTGTCCAGAAAGACCAAACTATTCACATCTCCACCAACCTTGGCGATGAGAAACGTGTTGGGAAGGGACGCGTAGAGATGCTCAGCGTACCCAACACCACAGATGGGCATGATGGTCATGACGATGCCCCAAAAGAGCTGCTCCCACCAGTTGCGACGCTTGAGCGCAAAACCGGGGGTCAGCGGTTGCCGCAACGACGAGAGTCGTTGTTGGGGGTCCGAGAGTCGCCGGCTCGGGACCGCCGCCGACTTGCGGATTGGCGACGCGGCATAAATGATGTTGAGCAACAGAAAGTACACCGTGTAGACTTCGAGGAGGGACCAAAACCACGTCTGGGCCGCGTACTTGCAGTTGAGCGCAATCGCCACATAGACAAACCAAATGTAAACGCAGCTGAAGAAGCACTGCGGGTGCGAGACGGCCGCCATGACCCAATGCAGTCGATCGCGCCACCGCGGCAGGGTCGTTGCCTCGGGCAGCGGGCGGCGCTTGAGCCACCGATGGTAGTACATCCATGGCAGCGGCCAAAACACCACGAGGACGCAGAGGTACACGAGGTACTCGGCCGAGTCTTTCATGATGGCGTCGTACTTGTCGAGCTTGGCGTCACGGTCCGAGTGCTTGAACGACTTGATTTTGGAGAGGCGGCGCACGGGCGATGCCGCTGGGTTGCCGTCCAGCGTTGCAAAACAGCTCGCGCAATAGAGCTTGCCCTTGACACGCAGAGCACTGGTTGCGTCTAGGGCCACTTGGTGCCACTGCGTCTTGCAGCTCTTCCCTTGGCAGTAGACCTTACGCACTCCGTCCGGCGCGATTGGTTCTTGTGGCGCGGAAGCACCGAGATCAACGGTGTCGGTGCGGCCAATCGCGACGACGATCTGGTCGTCCTCGGCACCCGACAGATCCACGACGGACTTCATAGGGTTCGTGCTGAGCTCACGGCGACTAGTCGACTTGTGCGACCGAGCCCTGCTACGATGGTGCTGACGCTTGGTCCGCAAAACCGTTGGGAAACGTACGACGCCACCCGTTCCCAAGCTTACGGGATCGATTGGATACATGGATACCACATGGATAGTCGAGTCGACGGGGCATTCATGTCGTCTCGTGCGTGTCAGTTTTGCATCGAAAGATCGAATTCGAACCACGCTTCGCCACGCTGCGCCCACACGCTGCCACGTGGAAGAATCGAACAAAAGCCGATAACGACCGATCCGAGAAGGGCCATCAAAAGATCGGCGCCTTTTCGACCGACGGGCAGGTCGCACTCGGCTCGGCACCACGACCCGCGATGACATCGTTCAAGATCGAAGCCGCGAGCAGCAACGAAGGTGCAGCGGTGTCCTCACCCGACACCGCCGAGGTCGCCACCGCGTCGCGTTCCCAAGGCACAGAAGAAGAAGACGAAGAAGCCATCACTTTGACAGAGCTAAAGCTCGACGCCAACGTCGTACGACCTTCATTAGAGCCACGAATGGCCTCAATCAAAACGCCATTAGACACGGCAAACGCCGTGCTGTCCATGTGCACGGGCGCCTGTCGACTGACGTGGGAGCAATCGAGCATTGCCGGCACCGTGTTCGTTCTCTCCAAGCGCGGCAAAGAGCTCGAAAAGCTGTGTTCCGCTTGCTACGCCTCGCATGAACCGACGCATTGTGACGACGTCACCGTCACGAAACGGCTGGCGGCCAGTATACCGTCGCTCGGCGAGTCGAGTCGCGACAAGCTCGAGGCCTACGCCGACGTGGTGCGCCGGTGGACGACCGACGGTCCATGGATTGCCAGCATCCTCGCGTTTGCGCCACTGGCCATTCCGCTGCTGGTTTTGGCCGACTGCTGTCACTTGTCGTCGTCGGCCTTGCCGTGGCCGCTGGGACCGCTGCTCGACATGTGGCGGACTCTGCGAAAGTGGCCCATGCTTGTCTTTGGCGTCTACCTCGCGGGCGTCCTCGCGGCGCTGATCGCTACGAGCCCGTTCATCGCGCAGGTTTGGTTTTGGGCCATCACCGAGTTTTACACGGTTGTCTTCTTTGTCGTCTACCTCGTGGAACCGCCGACGAAAAACTTGTCGCGCTGGGAGGCCTTGTTCAAGCCGGTGAGCGCGATCTACGATGTCCAAAAGCGACTGGACGACGTCGATTCCGACGCCCTCCTCGTGCACTTTGCAGCCGCCAAACGCGGGATTGACGTGACGCGCTTGCAGTTCGTAGCGGTCGACGGCACGTTGATACCATCGTCGCACGTGGCCGCGGCCTTTGTCGCCCCCTCGATCAAGCGGCACGTCGCGAGCCGGCTCGCGGGGCCGCGCTGCGGCATTCTTCTCGCCATCATCGCGACATTAAGCTACAATACGCCGTTTTTGCTCGCGTGGCCGTCGGGCGCGAACCTGATCACATCGATGGTTCCTGGTGTGAACGGCCTCGTCATCTCGCCCGCCGACACGACGTACAACGTCTCGTGGGACGTTGGGTACTGCAACAACGTGTCATTGACGGCAAGCGACGCGGTCGTCAACTTTTTCATTTCGCCGCCACCGGATGTGGGCCGCCCGGCCCTTACGTTTGGCTTTACGATCGAGACCGAAATGGACGTGGCGTTTGAGATCCTTTCGTCGTGGAACCTCCAGCTGCAGGACGAATATCGACACAATGCAACGGTCGTTCTTGCGAAAGACCAAGCCGCGCTCAGCTTTCTCGCGCGCCTCTCCACGAGTTGCACCACGTTGAACGAGACGGCTTTGAGTTGGAGCATTGAATACGACCATGTCTCGCTCAAGGGATTTCTTGCGTACGTCGACAAGTACTTGGCCATGCCAGGGATCGTGCCGTCGATTCTTGCGGCCAAGTACGTGCTGCAACTTGTATACATTACGCTGCTCCTCATTCGAAGTTCGCTCAAGATCTGGTCGCTCTGGCTGCACTTTAACTCGATCACATCGATGGGCTTTGATTGTCTTCAACATGGGCGCGCGACCATTGCCCTTACGGATGCCGGCAACATCGAATCGTGGTTTACGCTGCGCAACGGTGTGGCGGCCACGACCACCTTTATTGTCGAGTTCTCCACCGTCTTTATCCAATGCGCGATGCTCCAGTTTGGGTGGACGTCAACGGTTGTCCTTATCTTCTGCGTCACGGGCAGCGCGCCACTACCAACTTACTTTTTACTTTTGACGGGTCTTGTCGGATCGCTCTCGCCCCTCGCGATGCTCGTGCCGTTGGCAGCGGCCCTCGACATTCAGCGCGACCACGGCGCGATGTTGAAGACGCACCTTCTCCGGCTCGAGTTTGAGCGCCGACGTGCCGTCTTGAACGGGACCGATGCTGGGTTTGAAGAGCGTATTGCACGGTTCCAAACCATTATCGACGCAGTTGACAACCATGACACGCGCATGACGTTTCTGTGGATTGATATTTCGCTCGCACGCCTCGCGACTGTCGGCGCGACCTTGGCGTCGCTCGTGTCGTACATTGCCTTGCACCCCGTGCGATTTACGTGGGCGGGCCTCAACATCTACAACTGGATGCAACGCCAGATGTGGGCACGTTCGCTCGACCCGAGTAGCAACACACCCCAAGCCGTAAACGGTGTCATCTTCAACTAACAGATACTTCCACGACGACATCGCTCGTACGAGCAGAACGTACGAAGCGATCCTTTGTCAGTAAAGTCTATAAGCTTGTTTTCGCTAATTTGATTTCAACGCGGACACGATTGATTGATAGATGGATTACCGCTGTAACCCATTTTTTGTGTGTGCTCCCATACGAGGAGTCGATGCAAGGAATACACAAGAATTGGTTATTCCGTCGAGTCAAACAATCGTGTATTGGGTACACCGCTGCGCTCGACGGTGAGGGCATTGACACAAGAGTAGACGTACTCTAGATCGACACTTGCCAACTGTGAGTGCCAACTAGGACATGCAGCCCGCGGGAAAAACCGCCATTGCGGACTATCCCGTGGTCTTGAACTGATTTTATCCAGGTATCCTGGAGCTCAAAGGCGGGTGTTTTCTCAGGTTCTGCAGCCAAACTGCAGAATAAAGTCGTATTTGCGGTCCTATGCAAGGGCGGCCGCAAGCACGGCAACATCCTTATCTCTTCCCTCGAAAGGTTGAAGCCCAGCATTCGAGACCACGGGCCATTTACACGCCAAGTGCCTGCGCCAACTTCACGACACAGGCAGACGGGTTTCGCCATCCTCGGGCACTCGTTTGGTGGTAGTACCTTAGTGCTCATGCAAACGTTACCGGACATCCGGATAAGACTTGTGACGTGGCGTTCGGAGAGGCATGCAAAGTGGAACGTAAAACCATTGTTCCGGACATAACACCAAGTTGACCACGTCTTGTTTCCGTCAATGGATGCCAACTTCAGACGCAAGTGGTACGGGGTCAAGTCCCGTAGGTGCTGTCTGTTTCGTCTCTGCTCCATTGGCGTTGGCGTTGGCACCGCGTGGATGGATCTTGTCAGAAACACATCAAGCCTCGTACAAAAGCAGAAGACATGAGTGTCCCATCCAGACCTGCAAATGCTAACACGCTAAAACCGCAAAATGAAGTTATAAAATCGTGTTTAACCATCGTCACATCGCATGCCACGGTGACGATGCGCGCGTCGGCGACACTAAGACGCCCACGGATGTCTCCACGAGGTGGTGCTGCTCCATAAGAGCTCGGATTGTCGGAGTCAACTCGTCCTCGTTCACATAGAGAGTGACGTTGTGGCACGCACCGAGTGCTGTCAAGAGGAGCTTTATGGACGCCAGCGTAAGCTCGTTCTCCGAGAGGTCGAGCGTCAGAGGCCGTGTGTTGCGACCGGATGCGAGCGCAACGGCCAGCGCGGCAACGTCATCGTCACCGATCTGTGTCGCCAGCAGCTTCAAC